TAAAACACAGATGGGGCCCCAACAGGGACCAGGGTCCACTAAAACACAGATGGGGCCCCAACAGGGACCAGGGTCCACTAAAACACAGATGGGGCCCCAACAGGCAGCAGGCTCCACTAAAACACAGATGGGGCCCCAACAGGGACCAGGGTCCACTAAAACACAGATGGGGCCCCAACAGGGACCAGGGTCCACTAAAACACAGATGGGGCCCCAACAGGGACCAGGGTCCACTAAAACACAGAGGGGGCCCCAACAGGGACCAGGGTCCACTAAAACACAGACGGGGCCCCAACAGGGACCAGGGTCCACTAAAACACAGACGGGGCCCCAACAGGGACCAGGGTCCACTAAAACACAGACGGGGCCCCAACAGGGACCAGGGTCCACTAAAACACAGATGGGGCCCCAACAGGGACCAGGGTCCACTAAAACACAGATGGGGCCCCAACAGGGACCAGGGTCCACTAAAACACAGATGGGGCCCCAACAGGCAGCAGGCTCCACTAAAACACAGATGGGGCCCCAACAGGGACCAGGCTCCACTAAAACACAGATTGGGCCCCAACAGGGACCAGGGTCCACTAAAACACAGATTTTTATTTTGGTTCAACTGCCTCCTAAGCACTGCTGTCAGTTTGCCTGTTAGTGTGTCAGCCACAGAGTGGTCCCAACATGCTGTAGACTCCCCTAATACCCAGAGAGTGGCCCCAACAAGGACCAGGGTCCACTAAAACACAGATAGGGCCCCAACAGAGACCAGGGTCCACTAAAACACACATGGGGCCCCAACAGGGACCAGGGTCCACTAAAACACAAATGGGGCCCCAACAGGGACCAGGCTCCACTAAAACACAAATGGGGCCCCAACAGGGGCCAGGGTCCACTAAAGCACAGATGGGGCCCCAACAGGGACCAGGCTTCACTAAAACACAAATGGGGCCCCAACAGGGACCAGGGTCCACTAAAACACAGATGGGGCCCCAACAGGGACCAGGGTCCACTAAAACACAAATGGGGCCCCAACAGGGACCAGGGTCCACTAAAACACAAATGGGGCCCCAACAGGGACCAGGGTCCACTAAAACACAGACGGGGCCCCAACAGGGACCAGGGTCCACTAAAACACAGATGGGGCCCCAACAGGGACCAGGCTCCACTAAAACACAGATTGGGCCCCAACAGGGACCAGGGTCCACTAAAACACAGATGGGGCCCCAACAGGCAGCAGGCTCCACTAAAACACAGATGGGACCCCAACAGGGACCAGGCTCCACTAAAACACAGATTGGGCCCCAACAGGGACCAGGGTCCACTAAAACACAGATGGGGCCCCAACAGGCAGCAGGCTCCACTAAAACACAGATGGGGCTCCAACAGGCAGCAGCCTCCACTAAAACACAGAGGGGGCCCCAACAGGGACCAGGGTCCACTAAAACACAGAGGGGGCCCCAACAGGGACCAGGGTCCACTAAAACACAGAGGGGGCCCCAACAGGGACCAGGGTCCACTAAAACACAGAGTGGGCCCCAACAGGGACCAGGGTCCACTAAAACACAGATGGGGCCCCAACAGGGACCAGGGTCCACTAAAACACAGATGGGGCCCCAACAGGGACCAGGATTCACTAAAGGGGAGGGGAGTAAGTGATGTGGCTTTTAACCTAGTGTACATTAATGTTTCCCTCATAGAGGTGAAGTTTGGGTTTGAATTCCTATGTTGAAATGTGTTACAGTAGAGAAACCAGTTGGATTGGTCTCAATAACACCAGAATTCACTAGTTAAACATACCTGTATGCATAGACACACACACACACACAAACACACACGCACAGACACACACACGCACAGACACACAGACACACACAGACAATCATAAACTGATGAGCCAAAACATTATGACCAATAATGTCTAGTATGCAGTTGGTCCACCACATGCTGCTGAAACTGCACCATCCCATAAATGGACTCTACAAGACCACAGAAGATGTCATATGATATCTGGCACATAAGCAGCTGATCTCTTCATCATGTTCCTCAAACCATTGCCTTACAATAGCAGGGAGCATCTGAACGAGGCCACTGCCACCAGTGAATACCATGATCCATCTGAACGAGGCCACTGCCACCAGTGAATACCATGATCCCTCTGAACGAGGCCACTGCCACCAGTGAATACCATGATCCATCTGAACGAGGCCACTGCCACCAGTGAATACCATGATCCATCTGAACGAGGCCACTGCCACCAGTGAATACCATGATCCCTCTGAACGAGGCCACTGCCACCAGTGAATACCATGATCCCTCTGAACGAGGCCACTGCCACCAGTGAATACCATGATCCATCTGAACGAGGCCACTGCCACCAGTGAATACCATGATCCATCTGAACGAGGCCACTGCCACCAGTGAATACCATGATCCATCTGAACGAGGCCACTGCCACCAGTGAATACCATGATCCATCTGAACGAGGCCACTGTCACCAGTGAATACCATGATCCCTCTGAACGAGGCCACTGCCACCAGTGAATACCATGATCCATCTGAACGAGGCCACTGCCACCAGTGAATACCATGATCCATCTGAACGAGGCCACTGCCACCGGTGAATACCATGATCCATCTGAACGAGGCCACTGCCACCAGTGAATACCATGATCCATCTGAACGAGGCCACTGCCACCAGTGAATACCATGATCCCTCTGAACGAGGCCACTGCCACCAGTGAATACCATGATCCATCTGAACGAGGCCACTGCCACCAGTGAATACCATGATCCCTCTGAACGAGGCCACTGCCACCAGTGAATACCATGATCCCTCTGAACGAGGCCACTGCCACCAGTGAATACCATGATCCCTCTGAACGAGGCCACTGCCACCAGTGAATACCATGATCCCTCTGAACGAGGCCACTGCCACCAGTGAATACCATGATCCATCTGAACGAGGCCACTGCCACCAGTGAATACCATGATCCCTCTGAACGAGGCCACTGCCACCAGTGAATACCATGATCCATCTGAACGAGGCCACTGCCACCAGTGAATACCATGATCCCTCTGAACGAGGCCACTGCCACCAGTGAATACCATGATCCCTCTGAACGAGGCCACTGCCACCAGTGAATACCATGATCCATCTGAACGAGGCCACTGCCACCAGTGAATACCATGATCCATCTGAACGAGGCCACTGCCACCAGTGAATACCATGATCCCTCTGAACGAGGCCACTGCCACCAGTGAATACCATGATCCCTCTGAACGAGGCCACTGCCACCAGTGAATACCATGATCCATCTGAACGAGGCCACTGCCACCAGTGAATACCATGATCCCTCTGAACGAGGCCACTGCCACCAGTGAATACCATGATCCATCTGAACGAGGCCACTGCCACCAGTGAATACCATGATCCCTCTGAACGAGGCCACTGCCACCAGTGAATACCATGATCCCTCTGAACGAGGCCACTGCCACCAGTGAATACCATGATCCATCTGAACGAGGCCACTGCCACCAGTGAATACCATGATCCATCTGAACGAGGCCACTGCCACCAGTGAATACCATGATCCCTCTGAACGAGGCCACTGCCACCAGTGAATACCATGATCCATCTGAACGAGGCCACTGCCACCAGTGAATACCATGATCCATCTGAACGAGGCCACTGCCACCAGTGAATACCATGATCCCTCTGAACGAGGCCACTGCCACCAGTGAATACCATGATCCCTCTGAACGAGGCCACTGCCACCAGTGAATACCATGATCCATCTGAACGAGGCCACTGCCACCGGTGAATACCATGATCCATCTGAACGAGGCCACTGCCACCAGTGAATACCATGATCCATCTGAACGAGGCCACTGCCACCAGTGAATACCATGATCCATCTGAACGAGGCCACTGCCACCAGTGAATACCATGATCCCTCTGAACGAGGCCACTGCCACCAGTGAATACCATGATCCCTCTGAACGAGGCCACTGCCACCAGTGAATACCATGATCCATCTGAACGAGGCCACTGCCACCAGTGAATACCATGATCCCTCTGAACGAGGCCACTGCCACCAGTGAATACCATGATCCATCTGAACGAGGCCACTGCCACCAGTGAATACCATGATCCCTCTGAACGAGGCCACTGCCACCAGTGAATACCATGATCCCTCTGAACGAGGCCACTGCCACCAGTGAATACCATGATCCCTCTGAACGAGGCCACTGCCACCAGTGAATACCATGATCCATCTGAACGAGGCCACTGCCACCAGTGAATACCACGATCCATCTGAACGAGGCCACTGCCACCAGTGAATACCATGATCCCTCTGAACGAGGCCACTGCCACCAGTGAATACCATGATCCATCTGAACGAGGCCACTGCCACCAGTGAATACCATGATCCCTCTGAACGAGGCCACTGCCACCAGTGAATACCATGATCCATCTGAACGAGGCCACTGCCACCAGTGAATACCATGATCCCTCTGAACGAGGCCACTGCCACCAGTGAATACCATGATCCATCTGAACGAGGCCACTGCCACCAGTGAATACCATGATCCCTCTGAACGAGGCCACTGCCACCAGTGAATACCATGATCCATCTGAACGAGGCCACTGCCACCAGTGAATACCATGATCCCTCTGAACGAGGCCACTGCCACCAGTGAATACCATGATCCATCTGAACGAGGCCACTGCCACCAGTGAATACCATGATCCCTCTGAACGAGGCCACTGCCACCAGTGAATACCATGATCCCTCTGAACGAGGCCACTGCCACCAGTGAATACCATGATCCATCTGAACGAGGCCACTGCCACCAGTGAATACCATGATCCCTCTGAACGAGGCCACTGCCACCAGTGAATACCATGATCCCTCTGAACGAGGCCACTGTCACCAGTGAATACCATGATCCCTCTGAACGAGGCCACTGCCACCAGTGAATACCATGATCACCATGCTCAGAATGCCATGCTCAGTGGTAGAGTGCATGCTTTGTATGTATGTTGTCCTGGGTTCAATTCCCAGCTCCTCTCCATGTCGCCGTTGCAAATGAGAGTTTATTCACAATCGGCCTACCTGGTTGAATAAAAGCTAAATAAAAAATTCAAACAGTGCACACGTACCATCAAATCACCCGAAACTCATCAGATCAGGCGACCTTCTTCCACTGCTGTAAGGTCCTGTTCTGACGCCCGCTTTCCTGTTCTAGGTGCTTTCAACAAATGCCATTTCTCTGCCACGCCTTCTGTCGGTTTGGACCAGATGAGATTGCCATGGTTACCCTCATGTGTTAATGAGCAGTGGGCACCTAACACCCTCTCACCTGTTTGTTGTGGTCATAATGTTTTGGCTCATCAGTGTACGCACCACGCTCGCTCGCACCCAAACACACACACACACACACATACACACACACCAGATCTTTATCCTATAGGTAATGCAGGTGTGTTTGCTAGGCCTGAATGATTTGGACATTAAAACACGCACACGCACACGCACACACACACACACACACACAGAGACACACACACACAGACACACACACACACACCCACACACACACACAGGTGTTATGATGACTTCCATACTAGTGGTTCCCATTTCAGGCTTCCCTCCTGCGGTTTCCTGGTGAACCAATGTCAACACTGACCGTTTGTTTCCTGGTTTCTAGTGAATTTTGCATGATACAGTAAGCAAGCTGTATAATATTCCAACACAACGCTTAATTCCCAAACGTCTCCTCTAAATCATAAATCTTCAAGGATTGAGACATAAATGTGTTTAATTTGAATGGAGGCATTAGATTATCAGACAGCGCTTTATAAAGGGATTATATTGGTAGAGGTTTTGGAAGTTCTGTGTTGTTCTGCCGTTCTAAAGTTTGTGTGTGTGTGTGTAAACAGAACACACCTCAGTTTTGTCTTTGTTGGTTTAGTTAAACAGCCGTTCCATTTTATGACCTCCGGCAAGGGTAACCACTAACCCGGATACACACACACACACACACTCACACACATATTCCGCCCTGGCCAAAACACGGTGAGGAACGGTGAGGTAGGCAGCGGGAGACAAACACGGGCGCCGAAACCAGGAGCCAAAGATCCATGAGCCAAAGCCCAGATGAAAGAGGTGTGTGTTATCGCTTGTCATAAGGGACCTTTTGGCTGAACGTTTGGGAAGAGTGTTTTCAGATGCAATCATATAATGTTGATGTTACCGGCCTCTGCTAGAAGATCAAGTGCTTATTAAGGTGTGTTTGTGTGTGTGTGTGTGTTGATTTTTTTGTGTGCGCCTTGTTTCTTTGTTTTAAAGTAAAACTGTATTCATTGTAACAACCTCACTGCATAATCAATGCCGCCACAGAAGCGAGTGTGCAGGTGTTGTGGTCAGCCATAAGAAATGCCACCGTAATGAAATGTGATTGGTCCACAGTTTTTCAGCAGAACAGCAGCCCTGTGACCTGAGCTGCTCTCCAAATGGTACCTAATCTCTTTTTAAACTCCCACTTTTGAACAAGTGCCTGTCCAGAGGGCGGTGTTGAATATGTATCCCAACTATACAGTATCTGCATGTAGACACAGAGCAGTATGTACTCATTACTGAGTATAGGATCTCACCATATATACATAACAGACAGGACCTCACCATATATACATAACAGACAGGACCTCACCATATATACATAACAGACAGGACCTCACCATATATACATAACAGACAGGACCTCACCATATATACATAACAGACAGGACCTCACCATATATACATAACAGACAGGACCTCACCATATATACATAACAGACAGGACCTCACCATATATACATAACAGACAGGACCTCACCATATATACATAACAGACAGGACCTCACCATATATACATAACAGACAGGACCTCACCATATATACATAACAGACAGGACCTCACCATACATAACAGACAGGACCTCACCATATATACATAACAGACAGGACCTCACCATATATACATAACAGACAGGACCTCACCATATATACATAACAGACAGGACCTCACCATATATACATAACAGACAGGACCTCACCATATATACATAACAGACAGGACTCACCATATATACATAACAGACAGGACCTCACCATATATACATAACAGACAGGACCTCACCATATATACATAACAGACAGGACCTCACCATATATACATAACAGACAGGACCTCACCATATATACATAACAGACAGGACCTCACCATATATACATAACAGACAGGACCTCACCATATATACATAACAGACAGGACCTCACCATATATACATAACAGACAGGACTCACCATATATACATAACAGACAGGACCTCACCATATATACATAACAGACAGGACCTCACCATATATACATAACAGACAGGACCTCACCATATATACATAACAGACAGGACCTCACCATATATACATAACAGACAGGACCTCACCATATATACATAACAGACAGGACCTCACCATATATACATTACAGACAGGACCTCACCATATATACATAACAGACAGGACCTCACCATATATACATAACAGACAGGACCTCACCATATATACATAACAGACAGGACCTAACCATATATACATAACAGACAGGACCTCACCATATATACATAACAGACAGGACCTCACCATATATACATAACAGACAGGACCTCACCATATATACATAACAGACAGGACCTCACCATATATACATAACAGACGGACCTCACCATATATACATAACAGACGGGACCTCACCATATATACATAACAGACAGGACCTCACCATATATACATAACAGACAGGACCTCACCATATATACATAACAGACAGGACCTCACCATATATACATAACAGACAGGACCTCACCATATATACATAACAGACAGGACCTCACCATATATACATAACAGACAGGACCTCACCATATATACATAACAGACAGGACCTCACCATATATACATAACAGACAGGACCTCACCATATATACATAACAGACAGGACCTCACCATATATACATAACAGACAGGACCTCACCATATATACATAACAGACAGGACCTCACCATATATACATAACAGACAGGACCTCACCATATATACATAACAGACAGGACCTCACCATATATACATAACAGACAGGACCTCACCATATATACATAACAGACAGGACCTCACCATATATACATAACAGACAGGACCTCACCATATATACATAACAGACAGGACCTCACCATATATACATAACAGACAGGACCTCACCATATATACATCACACTGGACAGTCTCCAATGATCCCTTTCAGTTGAGCTCCTGTGAGGCTGACTGGTGCTGGATTATTAACATTGACACATGTCCGTCTGTTCTCCTCTATCCTCCTTGCTGCTCCTTTCTACTCTCCAATGGTTTCAGTCGGCTATTCAGAGAGAGAGAGAGAGAGAGAGATAGAGACCCAACAGAGCCCATCAATACCTTTATCTCTCTTTTCCTGTCTCTCTGTGTCTCCAACTCCCTACTTGATTTATAACATGAAAGGAAGTCTGTTTGAGTGTCGTTCGATCTGCCTTATTGATTGGGATGTAAGACAGTCTCCCCTGTTCAGCTTGTGTCGTGTTATTGGATGCGCCCGTCTAAAATGAGGACAGACGGTCACTTCACGCTAACATCTTATTAATGAAAACATATCCCCCAGTCCTGCATCGCCAAGCCGTAAGCCCGGAATTCACAGCCCCCTTGGAAATAAAAACAATCCCTTTTTAGGGTTTCTTCTCTGACTCGTCCGTTGCCAAGACTGACACATTCCTGCGTGAATCCATTTGAAGTATTGTCCCATTTGAATCCCGGGCTTCATTTACTGTGGCGTTGGGTTCACCCGGTCCGGCACGTCATCGCTTCGCTTGTCTCTGTGGTCCTATTCAGTCGTAATTTCACCAGTATATAATGGCGTTCTGAGTGCTGGGTCTTTTCGCTTATCCAGTTTATTGGTCGATCAACTAAGTTGTCAAGAGTGTCCTAGTCGTGTGAATTGTAACCTGCACTGTAATGGGAAACCGTGACCTACGCTGTCATTTGAGGTTTTACTTTGTGACACATGTTGAAATGTGTTCTGCAGCAACTCTAAATGGTGTTTTATAGGGAAATTGTAGTTTTTCAAAATGTACTGTTAGAAGCCTTTTTAACTCTTATGTGTGGTTATATTTTCTCTATAAGGTGCCGTTAATACGTTTGTGAAGTGGGAAGAAATTTGAGCGGCAGCTAAGCTTAACCCTTGAACGTACCACCACTCTGCCATGAGCTTGTTGTCTGTTTGGCCGTCATTTGAAGTACAGAATAGAGTATACTGCCACTGTTCCTTGTAATGCTTTTACAGCGGGAGATATTGACATTGAGTTATTGTTAAAGACCAGAGTCATTCTGTTTTCAGATGTTACACTATCGGGTTGATTAGATTGAATCAAAGGATTAAATTGGCATGATGACAAATTGGACCGGCCCAAGATCAGAATCAGTGAGGGGCGGCCCAGACAACGGAAGTGTTCACAAGACAATATGGGGTCAGAGGAATTATGGAGCGGGGTCAGAGGAATTATGGAGCGGGGTCAGAGGAATTATGGAGCGGGGTCTGAGGAATTATGGAGCGGGGTCAGAGGAGTTATGGAGCGGGGTCAGAGGAATTATGGAGTGGGGTCAGAGGTGTTATGGAGCGGGGTCAGAGGAATTATGGAGCGGGGTCAGAGGAATTATGGAGCGGGGTCTGAGGAATTATATTATGGAGCGGGGTCAGAGGAGTTATGGAGCGGGGTCAGAGGAATTATGGAGCGGGGTCAGAGGAATTATGGAGCGGGGTCAGAGGAGTTATGGAGCGGGGTCAGAGGAATTATGGAGTGGGGTCAGAGGAATTATGGAGCGGGGTCAGAGGAATTATGGAGCGGGGTCAGAGGAATTATGGAGCGGGGTCAGAGGAATTATGGAGCGGGGTCAGAGGAATTATGGGGCGGGGTCAGAGGAATTATGGGGCGGGGTCAGAGGAATTATGGAGC